TAACAGGATATTCAGACAACTGTAACAGATGATGGAGGTACTCGGTCGTACACAAGTGGGAATACATGTGCTGCACTCAGCTACAACCAACACTAGATCTGTCGGGAACTAACAACCAGCAGATGATAGGAAGAGGAACTGCAAACCGGAATGCATCTACAGTCCAAAACCTGACAGCATTGGGCAGTTTTCATCCAGTCAGTGGTAGGAGGAAGAATATTGACTAGAACACATGAGGGCTTACTTACTGGAGCATCTCCAATCAATGCCTGACCCCCCAGGAACCACATCTAGAGGATTGTAGGTAGGAGAAAGAAACCAGGGCCAGATTAAGGGCCTACAAGGCCTAGAGCTGAAGACTTCCAGTGAGCCTACCCACACTAGTTCATATTACAACAAGCAAATAAAGTTACAATTAACTTTTCTGGACTTCATGCAGGCAAATCTGTCAATGACAGAAGAAAAATCAATTATTTCAATATACCACTTTCAATACATAGAGATGAAAGCATATTGAAGCGTGTTTGATCCATATTTGACCGCAATTAATTCTTTTACCCATTTGAGGGTAGAGAATGATCATTCCCCACTACAGCTGCTTATCATCAAACATATTCAGGAAAACACTAATTGACAAATTGTTGTCTGCTTTGAAACAGAGAGAAACAGCATACAATCTCATGCATGAGAGGTTCAAGGTTTTTTATCCCGTTTGACATCATGCACTTCAGATGAGTTACGCACACACATGTCCCAGCTGGTTGAAGTTTACCCAAAAGATCTGGAACCGAATTGTAACAAATTCATTCATTTTTCAACTTTGTTTTCAAAGATTTCCTTCCCAAACAACATTGAAAGTGTAGGAGTACAAATGCATAAATTTGTAATGGCCCATGGTCTCTTAAAAGGCAGGAATGTCTGTACTTTGAATTCATTTGAAGTGTAAGTTCAGCATCTGCAGCATCACCAAAGTTCCACTTCTTGTTTCATTTGACTTTTCTTTTAGGCTCTTGCTTGTACATATCACCTTTGTAGAGCTTACTACTTTCATCCTCAAACTCATCAAACCTAGTACGTAGGGATTGAATAATGACTACAACATGTTAAAAATTTAATAAATAATTAAAACCAACATTTCATATTTACTACAATTAGACATAGAGGACATCAAAACAGTGTACTTGTAGAGTGTATTTTTTAAAGTGGAAGACACTGACGACTTCAATTAAGTTTTTGAAATTGTATAAATATGAAACGTTGGCTTTAATTATTTATTAAATTTTTAGGCAATACACAAGTGCTGATCACTCACATTTAGTCAACATGTTAGTTGCAGTGTTCAAGTTCACCTATGCATTTTGTAAGCATTTGCTAGTGGAATGAAATCTATTCAGCACCACTGACCGTACATGTATAAACATTGCAGTTTCTAACTGGTTCATTATAGAAGCAAGTTTATCTGCTTCTAAACACATTTTTGGCTTTTGGGATACATCTCCAGATATGTCAATGAGAATATCTTTGACAATTTTGTAGTCGTTTTGAAGCGCATGTATCACATCATGACGGGCAGACCAACATGTGTTTGAAAGTCACTTCAGCTTCAGTATACCTAGGGGTTTGAAACTTTCCATCAGAAGATTCCAATGATAAGTGGAAGCAGAAAACAAAATGTACAATTTCTGTACAAAATAAAAAAAAGGAAACAGCCTCTGAACAACAGTCAATTGCACTTTATCACACAAGATTCAGTGAATGTGCACAGCATGGGATGTATTCAGCTAGATCATTTTCCTTCCAGATTATCGCCTGCATGTTGACATACTTACTGCTCATGTTCGATGCATTATCATAAGACTGCCCCCTACAGTGTTTTATAGAAATGTCATGTTCTTGTAGAAAACTGAACATAAAGTTTTTTTGCCAAGCTTTTTCCAGTGTGTCAGTGACTTGGAATGAATTTTTACAAAATGTTCAACGGGTCCATCAGGTAGTACATAGTGAAATATTAGTGTCAGCTGATCAGTGTGTAAAATGTCATGAGTTGAGTCTACAATAACATAATAATACTTTCCATTCTTTATTTCAGTGATGATGTGACAGAGAACCTTTTGGCTGATAATGTTAATAAATTTGTCACATATCATAGATGACAGGCTTCCTTTGTTAGAATTCTTTCGGATATGTTCTGCGATAATGGGTCAAACTAAGCTAATAATTCTAAGCATCCAAGATAATTACCATTATGGACAGAACCTACTATTTCATCACTTCTGCAAAAAAGTAGACCTTATGCTAAGAAGACTTTTATTACGCTGAGTACTAATGTAAGAACCTGGTGCCAATACTTTTTTTTATTCATATTGTTCTGTTAAGCATTTGGCAACATATTCCCCGATGATTCTCCGCTTAATTAAAATCTTGATGGACTTTGCATGGAACAGACTGTTTTCTAACAGCTTAAGTCTCTCATTGCGTGCCTCCAATCAGCATATCCCAGCACAGCTAAATGTTCAGTTTCATGTGTTATCGCGAATAACTTGCAATGAGCACAAAATAATTTGCCCATTGTTCGTGAATAGCAAAACCAGTCTCTTCGGACTTTCTCTACATTTAACTGTTCATGAAAAAAATTATGATTTAGTACAACGTCTCTTGAAAGATTCTCCCGGCAATACCTTTTCTGAAGCACTAAAATCACTTTTGACTTGACAGTCAGTAACATTGTTTTGACTATAATATTCTTGCAAAGATTCAAAGACTGGCACTGTCCACTGTGCTAATTCATAACAGAATTGTGTTTCTTTGCATTCATCATCAGAAATTGTCATTTTAGCATTCAATATGCTAGTGCTACTTGCTATCAAAGCTTTGTCATTCCCTGAGTTTTCACTTTCAGTTCTAGGCATCTCCATACAAACATCATGCTCATCAGTTTTCTTAGGCAGACAAACTCAGTTATCTTTTTGGTGCTTGCTAATACTTGCAATTTTGTGTCCTCTTCTTTTTTGATTTTGTTTTCTCACAACCACTGCAAACGGTGAATCATATATCAGGTTAATTCAAAGTTATCTAATAGATGTACAGACTAATTTATGGCTTGATTCATACAATCACAATTTATAGCTAAATTCTGGTCCCAGTGATATGATCCCCTAGTCTAGATCGTGTAACAAAGTTTTCCTGTTCCATCCTCGCCCCCTTTCCCTTAATCCTGGATACATCAATGGCCATTCAGGCTTTAGATCTACCCAGAAATCATCAGATTAATGGACAAACCCAAAAAATCATGAATAGGCATTTTCCAAAATAGACAGTTTTGAGGAATCTATCCATTCAAATGGACAGTTAGCCACCCTGAGTCCGTTCACATGTGCATTCAACACTGTAACAGTTTCTGGTTTCCTGTCAACTAAAAAATGTGGTCATACCAATAAGAGAGCACGGCAAACACAAATAGTTTTCCTGACACCTTTGGCCCTTTGGGAAATGGGGATTATAGTACTTGAATTATAGTTATATAGAGTCAAGTTGACTCTACTTTAGATGTAGGATTGCCTTGCAAATGGAAAATAATGTAATGAAATTTATATAACGAGTTGTTTTTAAATTTTAATAATGATTATTTTCTCAGATTTTAGAAAATCCAAAAACAATGAAAAATATATTGCATATTGAGGGCACTTTGCATCAAAAAGGTTGTGGTTCAAACTCCCAGCCATTTCTAACAACACAAGATCCACTGGAAATGTACATCCGGAGGATGGTAGGAAGGAGGAATGCCACAATGGGAAAAAGCAAGTTGTCAGCTATATATACATTAATATGGTATTGTGCTACAACCAAAACCTGGTGGTATCTGGAAATGTACATTAGGTCTATGGTAGGAAATGCTATACACCATTAACACCCACAGAATGTCACTGCCCTACTCTCAACTGAGTGGTATGATGCATCACTCAGAAGGACCGACCTTCATGGTCCACCACCGCAGTGGCTAGGAACTGGCAATTGGCTAGGACTCCCATACTCCACTAGAAGAAAAGGAGGGAGATCCTAGAGGATCCCACCACTGGAGACAGCACAACGGGTGACAGTTATACCCTAATTTGAGAAGCAGATCTACCACATCGATGGAGTCGATCAACCGACACTAAACATGATTCGGAAATGTACATCGGATCCATGATAGGAAGAGTCTCAATGTTATGAAGCATCAGAGATGCTCAGCAATCCCTGTCTCCTTTACTCATGTGTGTCCATGAATGTACGTTCTGAAACAAACATATTTACGAAGCAAAAGACCACTCAACAGAACTACTAAAGGTCCTACAGAACACCTCATCTCTATAGTGTGCATAAGCTAATCCTGCAAGATATTTGTTTCAGCATACATGAGAATTGATCGGAGACACACAACCAACACCTAGCAGCATCAGGAATTGTACATTAGGAAGAACTAAAATGTAATTGACATCAAGCATGGTCACAGGATGGACGGTGAGGATGTTCCAAAAAAAAGTATACCTGGTCAGGCACCACTCACCACAGAGTGGAATCCACAATACACAAGCAAAAAGGACCCTGTAAATAAAGAAATAACAAAACATAGTAGAGAAAAACAAAGTCTGTAGGATAAAGAAAAATGTCGACATATTTATGAGCAAAAAACAAACACATTTGTACGTTACTATTGCCAACTGAGAAATGATTAACAAGTGGTGGAGAGCTGCTGCATAATCATTTACATGTGGATATGCAGAAGTGGGAGGTGGAAGGCTAGTGGTGAGCATTGAATATTTGTGCCAATAGAGGGCAGCACTAACTGAGAAAAGCTTTTTTTGTGAGAGGAGGTAAGATTTCATATCAAAAACCATTGCTACAAGTTTATTTTATATTATATTATGGTGAACTTTTAGAAAGACTGCACCCTTTCAGACATGAAAAAGTTAATGAAATAGAAAATGGGTTCAATGACACAAGTAATATTTTCAGCTTACCCCAAGGTAATCTTCATCATTAAAGAACTGAGGTGGAAGGACTCCTCCTCCAGCACCTTTTTTACAGTTTTCTCGCATATAGGTACGTTGATCTTCTTTTCCTGGTTCTGTGATATCAATGGTCTCATAGCTCAACTTCAAAGAATCCAGTATCATAAAAACTCTTTGTTGATGCTTTTTAACCTATGCAATAATAATAAAAAAACAATGATGCATTTACAATACTTCCATTACAATAAAACTTGAACTGAATAAAAACATATAAATAACAATGCAAATATTGCATATTTTGGGGGACCATTAAATGGTTTGTATAACCCAATTAAATAGGCCCAAATTGTAAAACACGTACTTTACTGTTCAGAACGTTACCAGGTTTACGTGACTATGTTCATCATCCACTAAATATAAATAAAACAGGGTATGCAAGTTACTGAATTTACACTTTCCATTCACATAATTAATTATGACCTGATTATTTACTAAAACAAATTTATATTAAGGAACATGTGCATTTAGAAAATAAAAACTAGTTTTCTTTAAATAATTATTTTCTTGGTAATTGTGTCGTCTTCTCAGCCATGTTATGTTTCAAGGATTTGGAGACAGGTCAATTGTATTGTGCTTTTTTTTACAACAGTAAGTTTAAAATTCTAGTTGTGTTCTTATATGTGCACTGGGCATTGTGTGAATCAAGACTGGTTTGAAAAAAGCTAACATAATCAAGTTTGCAGAATTTTAAGCAGTCAACATACGTAGATGGCATTGACCATATAACATCAATAAGTTCAAAATTATTGCCTAATGTTCCTTATCAGTATCTCCATTCTGATTTTTCACAGTAAGAAAGAGATCTTTTGGAGAAAGAGGAAGGAAAGTGTCTTACATCAAGTAGTCATGTGAGTATTAGGCCCTGAATAATAGAAACTTACACTAGGGAAAAAAATTAATATTCTTCAATTTTCAATACCAAAATGGCTATATACATAGCTGCTTAGTAGCCAACTACAGTTTTTAAATGTAACAAATAATAGAAGTATTGCCATTATGTTTGTTTCTTAAGCTCTTTTCTTCACTAAACTGTGAAGACTATATAAAGCCTAACCTACTCCTTGATTCATTATTCCTACTGCATACTGCAACAGACTAGTTTTGCCAAATTCAAGGCTCATTAGTGTTACTTGTAATAGCAAGGTAAATAAATAATAACACGTGACATACTGTTGAAAATAATTATTCATTATTACTCAGTAGAAAAAGGATTAATTACTTATTTGTTAATTTCTTTTCTTCACCAAAACACAAATTTCAGTGAAGAAAAAATTATATATAGACCTAATCTATTTCTTGATTCACCATTAGGTTGGTTGTTAAATGCAAAGCTACATAATGAGCTATCTGTGCTTTACTCACAGGATTATTGCAACCAGATTTTCACATTATTTTTTTTAACTTTATTCAGCTTGAGGCTAGCATTGCCTGGTGACTGGGGAAGTCTAATTAATAACTGCATAACTGTATTATTTAATAGTGCATAAGCAGGCACAGATCTATGGGAGGGGTCCAGGGTGTCTGTACTCCTTTACCCCCTTTTGTTTTTCAGAAATTAATAAGAAAAATAGCCAGACATCCTTAAACTGCCAAATAGCATCAAAAAAAGAAATGTTAGATGTCAGTGTTTTTATTTGATTGGGCTAATAATAACCTCAAAAACTATTTTTGAAATCAACACAGTTAAAGTCTGCAGCAACCCAGTCAAGGCCTAGGCCAATAACTGATTATTTCTGAGATAATACAACAACAGGAACATCAGTTAAACATCACCAAGGTAAATGTTCATGCACTGGTTTTTTTCTATACACTCTAAGAATATGTCTATATTCTAGAGATATTTTTCATTAGAGTAAATATTATATAGGACACCTGCACCTCAACTTTTTACATAATTGATTTTTCATTATTTAAAATTTAAAAATCTTGTAAGAAAGTTGTTTTTCTGTATTACTCATGTCCAAAATAAGTGAAAATGTATGTGGTATGACTGTGACCAGATATGTGCAGTATTGAAAAAAACTTCTTGATCGAGAGACATAATACTAAAATAATCTACTTGCCTCCTCACTGTCCCACAAAATATACACACAACTTAAATATAACTTGAAAGATTTAGCTTTTAGCCTCCTCACTGTCCCACAAAATATACACACAACTTAAATATAACTTGAAAGATTTAGCTTTTACTACACAACAAACAACAGTCATAATTGCTGCATTCGTCGGTCTGTATTAGAGTGAAAATGTAAAAAATAACAGCATAGTAAAGAATGAAGATATCCATACATCGAAGTAGGCACAAAAAATATTAATACAACACTAAAACTAACATTTTGACCAAAAGTTCCTCATCTCAAGACAACAAACAGTTGAACGTAACCATATAATCAATTAGTGATTAATAATAAATTTTGCTTCATGAAAGCAAATAATGAAAATATTATTCACTCCAAATATACTTGCAAATCTGAGCAGATCTATTTTTTTGCTCATGACACATGGCAAAACAAAAAGATTTTTCTCTCTTTTTTTTTTCTTTCATATTTTGCTGTTACTTACATGTAATATCACTGTAATTTTCTGTTTTCATGCAAGTTGGTTTCTTTACAATAGTTACAAGTAACATGTCATACTAGTTATTTATATCATTTAATTAAAAAATAAATTTGGCAGAGCTGGATAAACCATCTTAATTTTGATCAACCTTTGACTATTTGTTTACTGCTCCCAGTTTGCTTGTACCATTTTACATGCTGAAATATATTCAGACATTACATTAACAATTAGAGCTAGGCAAATAGTGGTAGCTGTTAACTGATTAATCAACAGTCTCAACAAATGACTACATTTGATTAAATGATTAGTACAGTTTAACTCAAACCACAGAATGTACAAGTTGGACACAGGTACTGTCAGCCACTTGCCTTTCTTTCTAGTCAGCAAATAAAAATCAATGACAGTAGCAGATAACTTTAGTAGCTTTGGCAAAACAAAGACAGAGTGAGCAACTTTTGTGGCAATGGGAATCAAACCCAAGTCCTTAAGACTAGATTTTTTTCCCACTTAGAAGTAACTCTAAACCTCATTTTAAAAACCCTGGGAACAAACCTTATCTAGCACTGGCACTATATCTACTTTTAATCTCTTAATCTTTCTACTTACAATCAAGGAATTGATAACTACATAATTCAGGATATTCCAATATTACAGATGGAATGTTCAATACCAGGAATATTGACAATATTTTCTACTGTAAATATAGAAGATAGCATTTTAAAGCTCAGCAATCTCATCTCAAACAATAACTTAGCCATCAGCTTCCTTTAAGGGCCCACTCCCCATTTCAACAGCTTGCTACAACTTGAAACCTACAAGAGAGGAAGCTATATTAGATTTAATATTAGCATTCGATATGAATATGATAGAGGTGTGGTTAGTGAGCGTTTAAGTACAAGCAACCATTTCACTATTAGGTTTGGGATTTTAATACATGTAGAATTGAAGAATAGTACCCTGATTCCAAATTTCAGGAAAGCCAATTTTGATGTAATGAGACATGATCTGGCTTCTGTAGATTCGACTAAAGAGTTAGGAGGAAGATCTTAAATAGATGTGGGAAGCATTTAGGGAAAAACTGATATGCATACAGAACATATATATTCTCTAAAAAAAAAACGGCAACGGAGCAGAATATGCTAGTATGGTTTAGTAAAGGTTTAAGAGATCATATCAAGGATAAACATAATACATTCAAGAAATTTAAACTTAATGGAAATAATTAGGACTTGGAAGACTATAAGAAATCAAGAGAGCTAATTAAAAATGAAGTTAAAAGGACAAAAACTGTATATGAAAAAGGGTTGGCTGAGAGAGTTAAATCAAACAGTAAGGAATTCTTTAGCTATATGATGGGTAAGCAAAATGTTAGGATAGAGACTGGGCCTCTTAAAAATGACAGTGTGAAGCTGATCTCAGGAAGATTATGAGATGGTAAACGTATTAAATTAGACGTTCTCTTCGGTTTTTACAAAGGAAGATTCAAGTATTATGCCTCAACCAGAGCACATAATGTATGGGAAAAATACTTATGTAAAAGATATCATTTTAAGTTTTGAAATTGTTAGAGAAAAGCTGGTAAACCTCAAAATTTATAAATCTCCTGAACCAGACAACTTTTATCCTAGAGTTTTAATGGAACTTAAAGATTTTGTTTGTGAACTGCTAGCTAATATATTTTATAGGTCATTGAGTAGTGGAAGGGTATTATAAGATTGAAATTGGCTAATGTTAGTCTAATATTTAAAGGAGGTGATAAGCATTGCCCATGAAATTATAGGCCAGTTAGTCTTACATCGGTAGTTGGAAATATTTTGGAGAGTGTGATTAAAGATGCATTGCAGTGTCACTTAAAGCAGTTTGATATAGTGTCAAAGAGCCAGCATGATTTCACTAAGGGAAAGTCTTGTTTAACAAACCTTCTGACATTCTTTGAGAATGTTACTGCAAGAGTTGATGAAGGAAATCCTGTGGATTTGGTTTACCTTGATTTTTAGAAAGTGTTTAATAAGGTGCCTCAAAAAAAGACTTTGTTACAAAAATTAGATCTATGGGTGTGGGGGAAATGTTATTAAATTGGATAGATAGTAGAAAGCAGAGAGTAGTAATAAATGGAGTTACATCTGACTGGATCACAGTTACAAGTGGTGTGCCTCTGGGCTCTGTGCTGGGTCCTCTGCTGTTTGTGATTTATATTAATGATGTTGACCCTGGAGTGACTAACAAAATTTTGAAGTTTGCAGATGACATTAAGATTTTTGGGGTGACTAACTGTATCAAAGATGCTGCAGACTTACATGGAGATTTAGTTGATTTGATTCATTAGGCCAATACATGACATATGATGTTTAACAATCCAAAATGTAAGGTGATGCATGTAGGTTTTCACAATTCAAATTATTGTTACAATTTAAATGGGAGTACATTAAATACTGTGGTTGAAGAAAAAGATCTTGGTGTTGTAAAAGAAAAATCACTTAAGTTATCTAAACAGTGTAGTGTAGCTAGCAATAAGGCTAATAGGATTTTGGGTAGCATCTACAGAAATATTAAATACAAGACAAGGGATATTG